TGCTTTTATATAAGGAGAAAAAGTGAGGATATAGGTAAATTGTGTCCAAATTAAATAGCAGAATTCTAACTTTCCAGCACGTGTAGATGCACAGAAACAAAAGGAGCCCAGGGAGACCACAGAGCTTGGTTTGCCACGATGTGGCCTCACGGATTTGCTTGCTTGCTTCTGAGTTCCGTGCTGTTGTATGATTGCACTCGCACAGTAAATGGTACTAAAGTGAGTTCCAGTGTGTTAGTGGGGTAGTTTTCAGGTGCAGGACCGGGGTTACGAACGGAGGCCAGCAGGGCCCTGGTTGGGTCCAGCAGGTGACTGTGGCTGCTGCTGGGAAGGGCCCTTGACGGCCAGTCCCCGGTTCACACACATGGACCCCTGTGGACCTGTGGCAGCCAGCTGTGGCCCTTCATCCAGGCGGAGAGAATGCTTGTTGGCACCAGAGCTGGACCGAGTGGACGGAGTGAGAAACATAGGCCAATGATACAAGCTCCAAGATCCCAGGCAAAGCTCCCAGTCTGTTACAACGACCAGGACCACGAAACTCAAAATCAGCCTTCCTGTTGCTTCTTTAGTGGTTTATTTTACTGAGCCCTTGTCGGGTGCTGGGGACATAAAGATGGTGAGAAAACAGCCCCCTCCACAACTGCAGCCTCCTGTAGGGGAAAGTCCGGCAACGTGGGCAAGCTAGCCAGGGCTGACGGCCAGAGGAAGTGAGTCGACGGCAGAGGGACACTTCAGAGGAGCCTGCCAAGGAGAGGGCAGTGGCGCCCCTGAGAGAGAGAGGGGAAGAGCAGCCACAGCTTGGAGGGCTGGCACGGTGGGGCTGGGAGCCGAGGTGGTGGGAGGGAGAAGGGCCTGGGATGGGCGAGAGACAGAGACCCGCCTTTCGGGCTTCCTAAGTCAGGAACGACGTGATCCACACTCTAGAAACTGCTCCTGCAAGCTTGTTGCTGTTTAAAGCCCTTGGAAGTCCCCAGACAGTCTTCCACTCCTGAGAAGCAGGGGCAAGGTCAGTCATCTGGGGCTTTTCTCCCTGCAGCTGGCGGGGGCTCTGACGCTGGCTGCCCACTCCCACCTGCGCCAACTTCTGCTCTCCACCTGGGCTCTCCCTTCCAGCACCTTCGCAGATGCCTTCCCTGGGCTGCTGTTTCGTTTTCCAGGAGGAAGCCCCAAAGACTTATTCCTCGGCCTTTCCAAGTCTGACCGGAGGGCCATGGCTTGTTACTGTGTGGCCCTTTGTGCAGTGACGGCCGCACTGTGTTCCGGAATGGTATGTAAACGCGTCCCAGACTTTGAAGTCAAAGTCTGTACAAGTTTCACCTGCGTTGGGGAGACATTCTCTGGTCCATGCGGACAGTGCCAGGCTGCACAGGCCAGACAGATCCCATGTCATGAACCCCTGAGGCCCATGTCGCCTGCCCTGGACAGAGGCCAAACACAGTCAATCTGACTCTCCCTTTAGCCCAGAACAGTTCAGCAATACAGCAGCCACCCAGGCTGCTGCCTCCTCCAGGAAGCCGGCCTGGCCCCCACCCCGTGCTCAATCACATCTCTTCTCACCCTGAGCTTCATCTCTGCCGGGGTATCTTTTGCCTTGTTATCGGTCCTTCCATTTTATCAAAGTTCCACTCCCATCACCCAGCCTCCGCTGGACACGTTCTCCGGGTTGGGGCTGAGTGAGGGATGGGGCTCCCTGTTCCACACCCTCCTACCAATCCGCCACTGACAGATCTAGTCACGCCACCCCCGGCTCAAACTCCTTCAGCAGACAAAAACGTTCCCCATAACCGTGTCCCGCCACTCCCACTTGGGCCTAACAGAGTTAGCAAATAAAACTGGACACCCAGTTGCAGTTAAATTTCGGTAAACAATGAGTAAGTTGTTAGTGTTAGTAAACCCCCTTAAACATAAATAGTTCAGACACATTTGTGTTAAAAATTATCTGTTGTTGACATGAAATTCAATGTAACTGGGTGTCCTGTATTTCAACCCCCACCTCGGCACACCCCCCGCTCTTCCCAGCCCCCCTCAGTCTTGCCCAGGGATGTGGCGCCCACATCTTGGGCGTGAGGCCCGGTGCCTCTATTTCCAGAAAGTCTTGCAGGTGTTTTGTTGAAGTTGGGAATCCTACTCTGAGCTCGACTAGGCCTGATGGTGTGCCATATACACGTGTTGTGTATGCTTGCTGTATACACTTGCTGTGTACGCTGTGCCCTCCACCAGCACATGTCTTTCCCCCTGGATCCCTCCCTTGTGCCCCAGGTTATAAGTCTACTCATTCCTACAGGACAGCGTCAGTGTGGCGTCCCCTCTAGGAGCTTTCCTGGCACGATCCCAAGATCCTCTGGTCCTCCCCTGGACCCCAGAGATTCTGGACACGCTTCCTCGCTACACCCATTGCCCTGTGCTGTTGTTTTCTGTCTCTTGGTGTGCCTGACACATTACAGAGTGTGTCCCATTGAGAGGGTATTCAATGAGTTGAATATTTGTGCTTCGTAAGTGGGTTAAAATTCTCTGCAGTCCTTAAAAATCTACCAGTATTCTCATTGAGTAGAGTGAAACTAGAAGTGACCACTCATGTTCACACCTTGACAACACTCAGAACTGAGTCCTTTGCTTCTTCTAATGCACCTTGCTCCCTACTCTCTGCTCATCCATCTACACAACCACCCTTCCATCTATCCATCCATCCGTCCCTTCACCCACTAACCCACCCACCAACTCACCCAGCTAATTACCTCTGTCTACACACCCTCCCATTCCTTCACCCGCCCATCCATCCATCCGCCCATCTGTTCATTCACACACATTGGACAGTTACTCGAAGAATGCCCATTGTATTCAGGCAGTGGCGAAACACAGATAACAGCTGGTTCCTGCCTCAGGGAGCTCACAATCCACAGGGGAAGACTGGAATAAACAAATAATTATAGCAATTTTTATATTTTGAATACAGTTCTGTTATTGGATATGTGATTTGTAAGTATTTTCTCCCAGCCTGTGGTTTGTCCTTTTATTTTCTTAACGGCGTCTTAACAGAGCAGAAATTGTAAATTTCGATAAAGGCCAATTTTTCAATTTCTTCTTGTGTGGATTTTGCTTTTGGTATCATAGCTAAAAATGAATTGCCAAACCCAAAGTCACATATACTTTCTCCTATGTTTTTTTCCTAGAACTTTTATAGTTTTATGTTTTACATTTAAGTTGATGATCTGTTTTGAGTTCATTTCAGTATAAAATGTGAGGTATGGATCAGAGTTCACATTTTTTACAAACGAATATCCAATTGTTCCAGCACCATTTTTTAAAAGAATGTCCTTACCTTATCGAATTGGTTTTACATCTTTGCCAAGTGCGATCGACTGTGTCTGTGGGTCTGTTCTGGGTTCTCTGCTCTACTCCACTGATCTTCCCGTTGCCAGTCCCACCGTGTCTTGATTACTGTCACTCTGTGCCGGTCCTGAAATGGCACAGATGAGTCCTCCAAATTTGTTCTTTCTCAGTTTGGCTATTCCAGCTCTTTTGCCTTTCCATATAAGTTTTAGAATCATCTTGTCAATATCGAAAAAAAAAGAAGAGTCATGCTGAGATTTTGATTGAGATTGCTGTGGATGTATAAACCAAATTTGGGGAGATTTGGCATCTTAATAATATTAAGCTTTTTAATCCTAGAATCCTGTTATGTCTCTTCATTTATTTAGGTCGCCTTGGTTTCTTTCATCACTGTTTTATGGTTTTCAGCATGCAGATCCCACATAATTATATGTAGTTTTAAAGCCTAACTAAAATTCAAAGAAAGAGCAAGGAACTTAGATCAGAGACTCATTTGCTCTTCCTCAGGAGATCAGGAAATCTTCACATAGCAGGACAGGTGTTTGACTTGAGCCTCGGTGAGTTGTTCAGCTCATGGCCATGGCTGGGAGTGGCATTTAGGCAGGGGGCACAGGGGAGGGCCATGCTGGAGTCCAGGGTGGAGCAGACATCGTTTGAAAAGGGTGGCTGGGGCCGGGAATAGAGGGCCTTGAACGTCAGGCTAAGGCACTCAGACTCTGTTACCTGCAACAGGGAGGTAATACTGCATGGGCTCTCTGAACACAAGAACCAGGCCTCGCTGTCCAGCGTGGCTATTTTACTGGTAAAGCCTGGAGCCTCAGATCTACGTACAACTCTCTGTGTAACCACTGCCTGTCCTCTCTGGCTCCTGGGCATCCCTGTAGATGTCAGGGGCTCGAGGGATTTAGGGGCTGATCAAGGACATAGATATGACCATGAGGGACAGTGACACACAGGATTTATTTGGGTGATATTTTGACAGGTTTCCTGTGAGGTGGGGGAACTCTCTCACACTATGAAACTGTGCAGCAGCTTACAGCATAGGGGACAGGGAAGAAGGGCAAGGGAAATCTCGGGGGAGAGGCCACCAGAGAGGCGGCTAACCAGTACAGAGGGTGTCGCTCAGCAGCACGCAGGGAGGCCCTGGGTCAGAGAGCTCCCCAGGGCAACGAATTGGGGACCTTGGAACCTTACAATGGATAACAGCTATCTCATGAGATTTTTACAGAGTGTGTAAAGCCGACAGGCTCTAAGTAACTAAAATTTGTATGTTTAGCTATTTTTAAAACAATTAGATATACAAAAAATTTGAGTTTGGTACCAGCAGGCCTTTGCATTAACAGCTCTCAGCCCCCAGAGGAGGAAGAAGCCACCCGAGGGCCAATATGCAGAGGTCACTCTTGGCCCACTTGTAGAAGCCACAGGAAGACACAGCAGCCTACTGGGCCTATGGCCCTTTCTCGTCTCCCCAGCACAGGCTGCTCTCGCGTGAGGCTCACCCATAGCTCGGCGTGGCTCACGGGGACACTGAAACGCAGATTTTACATCATGTTGATAACCCGGTCCTCAACTGTCAGATATTGGAAACATCCTTTATAATACAATTAATTCCCATTGCTGAGTTCATCTTACTGCCATGCAGTTCAATTCAGGAGAGATATTTTCCTGATTTTTTTTTAACCGAGAAATTACCATCTTACCAAAAGGCTAAAATAGCGTTATCAGATATAATCTCCATTTTATAGTTTATCAAATTAACAAAGCTATTTTTTAGTTTGCTAACATGAAATTTTCTTTATTCTTTTCTTTTCCCTAGCTGAGAGGTTCCCTCATGACTTTAACCCAAAGAAGAAAATCTTTTCAAAGTAAATGTCTCGTGAGACTTAAAGATGTCACTGCTTACACTTGGGGGAAGGCCCTCACCTTTTCGGGACTGGAAATGCCAAAGTTGGAAGAGACTGAGATGGTTGAGAACCACGTAAGCTGCGGGGTCTTGGATTAGTGAGCACTCTCATGGGGATGGTTTCTCTGCAGAATTTTGCTCTCTGCAATTAAAGCATGATTGTGTTTCTGTGCCAAATATCATTGCAAAGCCATATAGTTAGTTTTCAACCATAGTGGAACTCACAGAATTTTCCCTTGTAAATTCTAAAGCACTTTATAGTTTCCCAAGCACATTCTCCTCCAGTAGCTCGCTGTATTCATACAATGACCCTGTATGATGGGAAGGATAGAGTTTATGGTCTTCCCCAGGACACAAACACACTGTCCTCTGTCCACTTTAGAGTTAGTCATTTGCTTTTGGTACCTACCACCAAACCCAACCCTCTCCCCAAAACATGGAGCATTAGGCGCATTGTTTGAGTTCAACCATCCAGACAGGAGTGCAAACAAATCATACCAGGTATTTGCACATTGAATACCCACCTGTCTTCCATGGCCGATATTTAGGCATCACCCAGTGCAGTTCTGCAGCTGGTTGTATGTGATCATACTGTACATTTTAATAGGGCTTTACTGTCGGTCATGTGCTTCCCCAGCCATTAGTGCCTTTAAATCCATTCAATAGTCCTTTACAGAGGCATTATTAACCCTAGCACTTATGTGCATACCTTTATATGAACATTATAAATGAGGCAACTGAGATATAGAGATATAAGAGACAGGCCCAGCACCCAGGTCTTCTGACTCCAGGGTCCAGTATATTTTCTAATGTAGTACAATCTAGAGTTGGTACCCCTGAGTGCTCAGATAATGAGGAAAGAAGGAAAATTAGAATCTTTTTTTTTTGAGACAGAGTCTCACTGTGTTGCCCGGGCTAGAGTGCCGTGGC